ATGATTTATTGCTCACACATGCCGTATACGTGGAATTACTAACCAAAATACATTCTGCTACTTCTCCCGAATATGGGGGTACCACATGTGAGAGACGTTTTGGCAGTCTAGCCAAGTACAGGACCCCAAAATCCAATAAGCAAATTCAGGCTTTTAAAGGGTTTTATTTCTTCATTACACTTCCTGACTACCTATCACACTTTCGGAGGCCCTGAAATGCCAGGATTGCACCAAACCCCCCCAAATGAACCCTTTAAGGAAAGTAGACACCCCAAGGAATTTGATCAGCAGCATGGTGAGTATTTTGCAGATCTCGTTTGTTGCCACAAGTTTTTGGAAAATGAAGAAAAAAAACAAAAACATATTTTTTCTTTTCTTTTTGTATATTTCAAAACTTTGTGAGAAAAAAATTAGACCTGTAAAAATACTCACCATGCCTCTTTTTAAATTCCTTGGTGTCTACTTTTCAAAAAGGGGTAATTTGGGGGGTTTTAGTGCTATCCTGGCATTTCAGGGCCTTCGGAACTGTGATAGGTAATGAGGAAGTGAAATGAGGAAGTTACGCACCTTCAGGCTTTCAAAGTGGTCATTGGATTTCAGGCTCCTGTATGTGGCTAGGCTCCCAAAAAGTCTCACACATGTGGTATCCCCATACTCACTAGGGGTAGCAGAATGTATTTTGGGGTGTAATTCCATATATACCCATGGCTTGTGCGAGAAATATATAATTTAAATGACAATTTTGTGTACAAAAAAAAGAAGTTTTTGTCATTTTCCAGAAACTTGTGGAAAAAAAATAAATCTTCCATGGACTCAATATGCCTCTCATCAGATAGCTTAGGGTGTCTATGTTCCGAAAAGGGGTCATTTGAAGGTGTTTGTACTATCCTGGCATTTTAGCACCTCAAGAAATGTGATGAGCAGTCAGAGTAAAATCATGTAGCAGAATACATTTGGCTTAAATTTATGACGAAATTTTAGTTTTTTTGAATAGTTTTTATGACAGAAATGAGAAAATATAGTTTTTTTTTTTTACAAAAAAAAATTTTTACTCAAAACTTTTTTTTTTATAGCGCCAAAAATAAAAAGTGCACAGGTGATCAAATACCACCAAAAGAAAGCTCTATTTGTGTGAAAAAAGGACATAAATTTAATTTATGTACCATATTGCATGACCACGCAATTATCAGTTAAACTAGTGCAGCGCTGTATAGCAAAAAAATGGCGTAAATTGCAGTATCTATACCATAGTTTGTAGACGCTATAATTTTCACACAAAGCAATCAATATACACTTATTGGGATTGTTTTTACCAATACAGAATACATTTTGGCCTAAATTTATAACTAACTTTGAGTTTACTATATATTTTTTATAGCCGAAAGTAAAAAATATATATTTTTCTTCAAAATTTTCAGTCTTTTTTTGTTTATAGCGCGAAAAATAAAAAACACACAGGTGATCAAATACCACCGAAAGAAAGCTCTATTTGTGAGAAAAAAAGGACGTAAATTTAGTTTGGGTACAGCATTGCATGACCGCGCAATTATCAGTTGAAATAGTGCAGTGCCGAGTAGCAAAAAGAGGCTTGGTCATTAAGGGGGGTAAATCCTCTAGAGGGCAAGTGGTTAATCTGGGTATTTTCCCCCCTTTTTTAATTTAAAAACTGTGCAGCCAAGACACCACACACCCTCACCCCAGGTGCAATACAGCCCCCCTGCCTTATCCTTATACACCAAAAAAAGTTTGGCCTTTTCTTATTTAAACATATAAAAATATTTGTATTGACTTTAAAATAGAAACATTGAAAAGTGACAGCAGAAAAAAATATGTAGTGCATTGATTATCCCTTTTTTTCTTTTACTTTTTGCCCTATTTGTCTGAGTATAGATCTGTGTTTGCCACAGGCATGTTTAAACTCACTTACTGTTGAATGACTCACTACCTCTGCTGGAAGTCTATTCCAAACAGCAACTGACCTTTCAGTAACAAAATAATTACCAAAGTAGAGAAACTTGTGTTGGAGACCACATTGGGCTTACTGGATTGGTCACTGGCCCTGGATGGGGTATTCGTGTGAGCAAAAAGGAAGGATAGGGCCCAGTGATGAATGGTGGCGATGGACCCTCTTGGGGATTGGACGGTTGCCTTTTAAATGAGATCTTACGGTCATTTCAGCATGTAGACTTGGATAAAAAGAAAGGAACACCCAGTGTCCAGAAAAATGCAACTGCTAAAGTTTGGTTCATAGACGTTTATCAAAAAGTAGCAGTATGTGTTGCTCCTTTCTAATGAGTGTCTATGAACCATACTTTAGACATTTGCATTTTTCTGGACACTGAGCTCTCTTTTCTTTTTATCCAAGTCTACATGCTAAATGACCGCAAAGTTCCTGCAGTGTTTCCTAATATGTTCTATCCCTCAGACCTTTCACCAATTTTGTTGCTTGTCTCTGGACTCCAGAGCTAGATTCAGTTTTCTAAATGTGGCATAACTACTAAAAATCTATAAAGGGGATTCAGGACCTCCTTGCTGGTGATCTATCTAGTAGTTCACCGAATAATTCTATGTGCTTTCCTCACTTTAAAGTCACGCTGTTTGCTCATTTTGCAATTACATGAAATAAGCACGCCCCGTTTTTTTTCCTCTGTAGTTCTGACTAACACTGTAACCCCCAAATAATGTTTCCATTATTTTGCATTCAGAAATGTTGAACTGCACTTTCCATTGTTTCAGCAATACCAAATCATGTTACAAACACAAATATCAACCCTATTGCACATCTTTGTGTCATCACCAAAAAGACATACCTTAACCACCAAACCTTTACTTACATCATTTACAAATAGATTCAGCAGAACAGGACCTAGTACAGATCCTTGTAGTATACCACCAACTGTGTATCCACTGAACCATACAAGGATTAGGTCATAACTTCAATAAATTAAGATATGCTATGTCCACAGCACCATCCTGGTTCAAAACATTTGTATTCTAGTTAAAATGTAAGTCAGATTAGCCAGACAAGATCTGCCCTCAGTAAAGCCATGCTGATTTGGGCCCAGCAAGTTGTGCGTGTTAAAGGAGTTCTATGGTCATAGCATACAGTTTCATTGTGTAACATCAGCTTTGTAATAGCAATACAAAATAATAGTTTATTTTTAATTTCAGGTACTTATATAGCACAGTCAATTTACGCTGCGCTTTACACATATACAGTATACTGTACATTCACATCTGTCTCTAACCCTCAAGAGGTGTACAATCTAAGGTCCCTAACTTACATTCATACATACACATACTAGGGCCAGTTTAGACAGTATCCAATTAACCTACCAGCATGTCCTTGGAGTGCGGGAGGAAACCGGGTACCCGGAAAAAACCCATGCAGGCATAGGGAGAACATGCAAACACCATGCAGGTGATGCCGTGGCTGGGATTCAAACCAACGACCCTAGTACTGCTAGGCAGAAGTGCTAACCATTTAGCCACTGTACTGCCCATAGTTATTTTTAACAATCAAAGCTTTGCTTACCTAAAAAAATCTAATTTCATGTTGAGAGTGCTGCCTGTCTGCTGGGCATTTCTTTCCACAACTTCCTGAATTCCCTGCATGCATGCAATCGCCATAGGTTTCAGAGATTAACTGGTCATAGAATCCCCACCCCCATTTGCTGCCTCCTGCCCTTTCCCCTGCATTGTGGAAGGCTGAGAAGCACTATTGCCATAAGTTTTCCCTCTTCAGCTATGCCTCCTCCAGTGCCGTTACTAAAATTAAACAAATATTCATATGAAGCGTACTTTCTTCTCTTTTTGACCACTTTAGATTGGGGTGATGCTGCTGTATGTAAAAGTTAAAAATTCATATACACAGCCAAAATATGTGATGCCAGAATATGGTGTTGCTGGTGCTATCTGTGAAAATCTTACTGTTCCGTAACACCACATGCAGCTTTAAAGTATCTCCCAAGCATGTAATTTTAAAGAATTGGTGTTTTCCCCATGTTGCATTCAAAATTCCATCAAAATCCTGCTGTGTGGTATTTAACCATCCCAATAACAGATACTTTCACCCCCTTCCTGCCCAGGCTATTTTTCACCTTTCAGATCTGTCACACTTTGAATGACAATTACTCATGCAACACTGTTCCTAAATTAAATTTTCTAGCATAGGTATATCTTGTTCCTTTTGACTTCCATTAGGTCACATGTTTTGTGCTGCATTTTCTTAAAGCCCATCAAAAGCCCTGCCTGTCTCATCATTGGTGCACTTTCAGAAAATGCAACCTCATAGAAGTCAATAGGACCGCGGCTAAAAACGCATGTAAAACACATAAACCATGCATATACCCATGCTACTGTCAAAATATAGTGCCCCAGTGTGAAGCAGGCATATGTGTTTTACTACGCACAGATGTGTGAACAGACCTTTAGTGATTTATCACAGAGTACTGTGTGTAAAAGCCAAATCTTTTTTTTGTCAATCGATACAAATTATAACCATGTGAAAGCACATAAACTGGTTGTCATAGAGTGTAGCTCACCATATCTTTATAACCTGATAGATGCCCTGTGAATTCAGACATCCATTAAAAGCTTGAAAAACACCTCCAATACTTTACCATTAGGGCAGCGGATGTAATGAAACATTAACGACTAGCCTACAGGGCACTTATATCCCCTTCCTGCCCAGGCTGTTGCAATTTGCATGACAATTGCGCGGTCATGCAACACTGTACCCATATGAAATTTTTATCATTTTTTTGTGACAGAGCTTTATTTTGGTGTTATTTAATCACCTCTGGGTTTTTTATTTTTTTCTTAAACAAACCCAAAAACCACTCAAAATTTTGAAAAAAAAAAGTTTTTTCTTAGTTTTTGTTATAAAATTTTGTAAATAAGTGATTTTTCTCCTTCACTGATGTGCGCTAATGAGGCTGCACTGATGGACACTGATAGGTGGCACTGATGTGCAGTGATGAGGAGGCACTGGTAGGTGGCACTGATGGGCATTGACAGGCATCACTGATGGGCACTGAAAACCAGCACTCATATATGGCATTGACTGACTGGCACTGTTAGGTGGCACTATTAGGTGGCACTGACTGGCACTGTTAGGTGGCACTGACTGGCACTGTTAGGCGGCACTGATGCACACTGATAGGTGGCACTGACTGGCCTCATAGGTGGCACTGACTGGCACTGATGGGTGACACTGAAAGGCAGCTCAGATGGGCACTGATATGTGGCATTGATGTGGCACTGATGGGCACTGAAATGTGGCATTGATGGGCACTGGCAGGTGTCATGGATGAGCACTGAGAGCTGGCACTGCTGGGGCTACACAGATCATCAGGGCACACTGATCATCAGTGCTCTGATAATCTGTGTACATGTCCCCTCTGAGGAATGCCGATTACCGGCTCTCCTCTCCGCACGAGCTGTCAGCGTGACAGCTCGTGAGGACAGAAATGCCGATAACCGGCATTTCCCTGTTTTTACATGTGATCAGCTGTGATTGGACACAGCTGATCAAATGACCGAGCTGACATCTTCGGCTCTTTCCATAGATCGGTGATCCGCTGTGGGCGAGGGACACAGCGCACCACCTATCGCCGCGCTCCGAGAGCCGCGAATGAGCGGTTAGAATGGGAGGACGTCATATGATGTCCTCCCAGAACAGGAGAACCACCTTGCGTCCATCATATTACTATATGACGGGCGGGAGGCGGTTAAAGGGTAATTTAGGTTACTAAACTTTGGTTACATATGTAGCACCCTCCTGAGGAGGACTGAGTAGCAGCCTGGGTGTGATAGCTAGCAGGGGAAAACTATGGTCAGAGCTGAGAGGCTCTGCAGACCAGCCCTCTGGAATTTCCCCCTGCCCTAGAACTTTGGTGAAAGGTCTAGAAGTAGTGGGTGGATCTGAGGAGAGGCTGATCTGAACTTTTGAGGGATCCTGGCCAATCTCCAACAGGAGGCTTGGCAATGGGGTAGGACAACCCTTAAAAGTTAGAGAGACTGCTCAGCAGCAGGAGAATTTGGGTAGAAGACAGAGAGGATGTGAGGCTGAAGGCAGCAGCCTGGGAGGGGGCCCAGATGGGGAGGGGCTCATCTACAGGCAGTGGAGCTTGGAAGGAAGAAAGATCAGACTTTTACCAGCCTCCAGAGTGAGGACCACCAGTGTAGCAGTGAAGGAGCGGCCCAGCTAGAAATCCTGGAGAAACCCTCTGCACACTGCTATATACCTTTTTCTGCAAACTTTGCAATAAAAAATAGGGATTTTTAATTCATACATATTGCAATACATGTTTAAGCTGGCCAACTGTATTAAAGTAATTACTTTAAGCCAGTCCTACTCTGCTCTGCCAATGCAAATGTCAACAATGGGGAAACAGACACAAAATGAGGGATAGCTACTAGGTTACTGACCTGCTATGCAACAAAAACAAGAGCACAGTAAGTGTCCTATTACTGTTAGGTGGAGCACATGGCACAGGCCAGTCCAGAGAGCGTTAATCAAGATGGTAGACAACAGTGTTAGTGCATGCATGTAACAGCATGTGGTGATGTTTTCTTGTGAATGAAAGTGTAAAACCCGCAGATATCTACAGGAGACTTCAGCACAATACGGTGATGAGACGCTCAAAGAAGGCAATACGTCCATCGGTGACAATCCTGGCCGTGTTGTTTCTGAACCTACAGAAGTCAGTCCTGTGAACATTCAGCATGTGGAACACCTGATCTTGGATAATCGACGCATAACCTTTCGTGAAACTGCACTAGAGACAAATCTTTTTGTGGGAACAGTGAACACAATGATGACGACGTGAAGCAGGCTGTGCTAGGATGGTTCAGGCGTACTGACAAATCTTGCTGAAGCTTTCCAGACATTAGTTAAACGCTGGGATAAGTGTATAAATGTAGTAGGGGAGTATGTTGAAAAATAAATGCAGTTTCCACTGCTTGAAATTTGTTTTATTATTATATAAACTCAAAAGTCCCAGTTTTACTTGAATGCCCCTCATATTTCAGAAACTATTATTATTTATTATACAGGATTTATATAGCGCCAACAGTTTGCTGAACGCTTTACAATATAAAGGGAGACAATACAGCAACAATACAGTTCGATAGGAGGGCCCTGCTCCTTGGAGCTTACATTTTTACCTACATGGGCAGCTTGGTCACCATGACCATGGTATCAGATTTACTACTACTAGCTATACCATGACCCAGGGAAATAAATACCTTTTGTGTATGTGAGGCTGGGTAGTTTTGCCTGTAAATTTTACCGATCCCAATGCATCCGAACAGAGGACCACATGACCACATGATGTATGCCCAAGAACAAGTCCCATTACAGGCACCAGAGCTATTTAGGATTTTTTCAATACACATTAACTGTAACAATGTAGTGTAGCTAGACACCTTGCTACTAAAAGTTTTACTTAAACACAAGAAGATCTCCAGTTGACACCTTAGAGCTTTAGAGTTCTTGAGGATAGACCAAGCAATGATGTGGACACTTTAAAACATCACTTCATGGCACCCTTTGGTTACACGTTCCGATGCTCTCCTTGTCAGACTGAGAAATCTTGTGTCATACACAAAAAGAAAAAGCGGGTACAAAGGCCTAGTGCATTACCAGATATTGCTTTTAGCTTTTAGGCTCTGATGAAGAGGGTTTGTCTCTAGAAATGTTTTAGCTGGAGAGTTTTGGTGATGCCATGTCCCGCTGAGAGTTACCTTGTCCCCTGGGTTTGGTTAATATGCTTTTAGCCTTGTGCTTTTGTGTGTATGCAAAGAGTTCTGCTTGCCTTATTTACACTAACCTGCATTTTGGGTAGCAGTCTGCATTAAGCAACATTGTTTTGCTTTTACAGTTGTTACATTTATTACTGCAATTCTAATGTATGATATATTAGTAAAAAAGTGAACTTGATGCTTCTTATTCCTGTTGTGTAGGTTTTTTCTCTCTGTATAGTTTTTCTTTGGTCTTCTGCTCTTTCATCACCTCAATTTTCTTCTGGCATTTTGCTTAATCTCCTGTAATTACTTTCTGCAGAGCTAGGTGGTCCCTGAGCCGCTAACATTCTCATTTGCAAAAGCACATTTGCTCCGTTTGACCTTAAACTCCATGCTTTGAAAAACCACAGTTTTCCTCCAGGTTGAAGGATGTACTTTGAACCTCCTGAATGTCATAAAATAATACCAAATATAGCTGGAAATGATAAAATTACTAAAACATAGAGAGCTTCAGTTTTCTGTTAGAAGCCTGTTTGGGTGGCTTTAGGGCATATTCACACCTATGTGGTATAACTTGCACATTGGTGTGCAAATAAGCATGTGATAATGCATTTATATAGGTGTTAAAGAGGTCTAAGAGGTACCCATACACAAGCAGAAATTATGATTTCATATTTTTGGCCAACCATCTGTGTATGTATGCGAAACATCAAAACATAATCTAATGTGATGGCCAGTAAAGTTAATTGGAACATTTCCTAGGGTCTGTCATTCCAACAGCCCCTTTGAGCTTTCCTTTACAGTCTACAAAAGGAGTAAAAGCTTGCTACACAGATCCTACTAGAATGGCACCATACCAGGGAACTCTATAATTTAACAAAGAGAATCAATGTTTCCCAGTCCACACCCAAAGAACCTTCAAATCAAGAGGTTGTAAACTTTTATTTTATATCTGTTTGGATTTATACATTTTAATGCTACTATACATACTGTATGTTCTAATCACAGAATGTACCATATCCCCATGTTCTTAGGCCATTAGGCTACTTAAAACCAATTGAAACTTGCATTATTACTGTTAGAGTTGCCTTTTTTTTTGTAATAACAATTTTTTATTGATTTTCAAAAAGGTATACAAACAGTATGTTTAAGAAAAAAAAAAAGGATAAGAAAAGAAAACAAGCAAAACAGAAAGTTACATCGATGGCAAAACCTGCGTAAGGACAGGACCAACAAAAACATAAAATAACAGTGTGAAGGTTATCAGGACCTTACATTTTGGGCCGGCATAGAGGAAATGAAGGTATCCCATGGGAGCCAAATCATCTCAAACACAGCAAACGAACAATTATGTAGTGCAGTCAAGTATTCCATCTGTCTAACATCAGCAATAAGTTTGTACAGAATCGCTATTGAAGGAGGGGTAGAAGACAACCAACACATAGGAATGCTTCTCCTAGCCGCGGTCAGAACATGTACAGCAAGTTTTCCGGATGGTTTAGGTAAACTGGAAATGGTAGACCTAGCAAAAAATGTAGTGGATCAAGTGGGAGAGAGGTACGCATTAGTGATTGTAACAGGGAGAGAACATCTTTCCAGAAAGGAGTAATGGAGCTGCATGTCCAAATAGATATGATAGAGAGAACCCTGGTCTCCACCACAGCGCCAGCAGGCAGGAGAAGCATTCGGATTATAAGCATGAAGAACTTCAGGTGTTTTGTACCATAACATCATGAGCTTGTAAATATTTTTCCTTAAAAACCACACAAACAGAAAAGATCTAGATGCATTTTCCAGATTTTCTTCCACGTTAATAGATCAATTATCACATTGTACGAATTGAGACACCACCTACGCATGTAAAGGTGAGTGGCATTGGACAAGGAGGGGGCATCTAGAAGTAGTTTATATGTGTTAGAAATAATACCCCTTTGGTGGGGGCCCTGCATACATAAAACGTTCAAAGGAAGTAGGCTTCCCAGGGTTAATGAGGGTGATAAGGTAGAAAAGAAGTGGCGTATTTGAAAGGTAAATATATAGGTGTTGAGAAGGTAGAAGAGATTTTTTCTGTAGATCTGGGAATGAGTGTAACTTACGAGTCACCGGGTGTACCAAGTGACGCAATTGAAAAAGGTTAGCTGCTACCCAAAGAGACATCCGGGACATGGCTATATTATCTGGAAGATTAGGGTTATGGAGAAATATTTGTCAGTGGGGAGCAATCAGAGGCCAGCGTAAATTTAGCCTTACATTTCCGCCAAACAGCCAGAGAAAAGTGCATGGGACCAAGGAATAGGTGGCAAAAAGAAGAGACATCCACTGTTGAGGTCGACCAAAGGAGGGAGCATGGATGAGCCGGAGACAATTGTAAAGATTCAATCTCAGCCCACGTGTTGGGAGGATAGTGAGTAGACCATGACATGAGAAAACGAAGATGAGTTGCATAGTAGTATGTTATTATATCCGGTACCCCCAAGCCCCCCCTAGAACGCGGAGAAAGCAAAACAGAACGTGCAATCCTGTGCCGCTTGTTGTGCCATATAAAA